GCCCCCCCCCGTCCCCGGCCAGGCCCGCGCCAGCACCCCATCGCGTAACACAGGGGTTTAGGGGAGTTTAAATGCCAGGGATAAAGACAAACCAGCTACAAGCAAATCGGAGTCACACACGCTTCCAAGGGGCTCAGACTGAACCCTGCAAGCTGCAGCCTGGGGTCTTCCTGGTCCTCCTCCTCCCAGCCACGGCCGGCTCTCTGCCAGGGCTGCCGGGCGAGGAGCAGGGTGCTCACCTTATTCAGACCCCGGCGGAACAGCCCGTCCTCCTCAGGTCACTCGCACTCCGGCCCCTCGTGTGCGTCCAGCGACGGACGCCAAGACCTCTGCTCGTCTCAGCTTCCCAAACACACTGTCCTGTCCTGCGCTCAGGGGGAGCTCCTGCTGCTCGTCCCTTCCCGGGCACGCGGCTGGAAACGGGGCGCCCACTGGCTTTGGGCACGCTCTGACTTAACTTCACCGGAGACAGGGAGCCAACTGCCTTCCCCTTCCCGTCTGGGGAAACCCAGACCACAGGAGCAGTGACGGGGGTGCCATTCACTGCCAGCGGGCACCTCCTCCCGGCCGCGGTGGGGCCTAGATCGCGAGGTCCATGCCCCTTCGCTGTCCCTCTGCTTGCAGCCCCAGGAGCTAATGCGGCTTCCTCACGACTCAGCCTCCAGCTAGTCACGCTCAGGGTTTCCCCTTCTGGGGGCAGGAAAGTCTCTTCTGACAGAGACTCAGGCAGTCTTCCTGTTCACTGCCCCGCCGGTGCCACATCCCCAGGGGCTGGGCCCTCCCTCTGCTCTCGGGTCCGGCTCAGGGACCTCTAGTCAGCAGCCAAGGCCTGTTCCACCCCAGAGCTTGCTGCATTTCCCCGAGCCCTTTCCTAACCTGGCTCTCCCTCCCTTCCCTGGTGTCACCACTCGTCCTCCCAGCCTGCATGTCTCTGCCACCCCCACGCCCCCCTCCACCCAGGGAGCCGCTGCAGCCTTTCCCCACGGCCTGCTCCACGGGCAGCCTCCTGGCTGCTCCAGGCCCAGCTGCGCTTCTGCCAAGGAAGGCTCCTCTGTCTTCGTTCCCCGCAGCCCCACGGGGCCCTGCAGGGCAGGGTTGGGAGGACCCCCCACCGCAGGGTCACAGATCCAAAACCACAAGAGCAGGAAGGAGCGTGTTCTCTCAGCTAGTGTTAATCCACATGCACACTGATCTTAACCACCAGCAGGCGGTGGGACTAGACGACCTCCTGAGGTCTCTTCCAACCCTAAACTTCTATGATTCTCTCTCGCTCCTGTTCCACCGAGACCCACAAGGCGCAGTCAGCAGGGTGTGGACAGGGGGTGCTCGAGGTCACCCCCCGCAGTGATGTCACTCCCCAGCCAGAGGGTAGAAAGGCCAGGCTGGGTCTGCTTGGCACTGAGTGGCTCTGGTCATGGCCCGCGTTCAGCACCGTAATGGGGGAATCGTCACCAAGTGGGTGTTTCCAGGGGGTCCCGCAGCTGCGCCACTGAATGTTTTTATCAATGACCTGGAGGAAAACATCAAACCATCACTGATAAAAGTTGGCAGAGGGCACAAAGGTTGAGGGAGGGTGAAGACGACAGGGCACCGGTTCACAGCCATCTGGGGCACTTGGTAGGTTGAGCTCAAGCAAACAATATGCCTTTTAATACGGCTAAATGTAAACGTCTCTCTCTAGGAAGAAAGGACATGGGTTGTACGTACCAGGAAGCCGGGACTCTGAAAACGCTTGGGAGTCGTAGTGGACAATCAGCGGAACGTGAGCTCCCAGTGCGACACTCCGGCCAAAAGGGCTAATTGCGAATCTTGGATACATAAACAGGCAAATCTCGAGTAGGAGCAGAGGGGTTAGTTTACCTCTGGATCTGGCACTGCTCGAATCCTGGGTCCAGCTATGGTGGCCACAATTCAGGGAGGAGGTTGGTAAATTGGGGAGGGTCAGAGAAGAGCCCCGAGAATGATTCAAGGATTAGAAAACCTGCCTTTAGTGATCGACTCCAGGAGCTCCATCGAGTTCGTGAACAAAGAGACGTTAAGGGGTGACTCGATCCCTGTCTACAAGTACCCGCAGGCGGACCCAGTATTTGGTAACGGTCTCTCCCATCTAGCAGCGGAAGCTCCAACACAATCCCATGGATGGAAGCTGAAGCTAAACAATTCCAGGTGAGGGTAATTAACCAGGGGAACAACGTCCCCGGGGCTGGGGAGATTCCCCATCCCTCGCAACTGCTCTAGGAGTTACCCGGGGCAGATCTCTGGTGGTCAGACTAGGCGATCACAGTGGGCCCTTCTGACCTGGGGATCGATGAACGGGGCCGGCCGTGTGGCTGCTTCAGAGGCGATCGTCAAAGTCTTTCTTTAGAAATTGAGCGTTTTCCCCCTGGTTTGTCTTCTGAGCAGAGACAGAGGGTCTGGACTGTGCTTAGACACCCCCGCCTGGGCCGCAGGCTGTCCCACACGTGCCCCGTTCCCGGCAGGGGCAGCTTTACCAGGGACCCCTTTTCCACGCTGCAGTTCAATCGGGGTTAACAGGACGACGCGTTTCAAACCCTTTTGCCTGAGTGGCACAGGCTCCACCACCCGACGATCCAGCCAGCGCACAGACCGACTTCAGCACTCGTGAGCTCACGGGGGGAAGACACGGCCCCGTCAGCACCCCCCACCTGGCAAGAGACCAGCAGGGCCACTCACGGCCAGCACTATGCTGCACACTGCGGCCACCCAGAATGTAGTGACAGGTTATCCTGCTCCACACACACCCTCCTCAGCTGCTCTGGCGCTCAGAGACTCTCCCTTAGCTGAGGGCAGTACAGGGCCCATGACTAGAGTGGATTTCCTGCCGGAGAGGGGCGGCGGCACGGCACAGACAGGCACCAGTTCGTTACAGTCAGGGCCTGTGGTGCTCCAGAGCCTCCGCAGGCCTGTGTCCAGCCCTCCTGGCTGTGAAGAGCCTTGAGCCAAGTATATTGATACAATGCTGCTTGCCTGAGTCTGCAAAGAGCCTGAAACGACGGCTCAGAGAGGTGTGAAATGGCCCACCCATCTCGACAGGCTTGGCAACGCCCACGGTAGCATGTACTGCAGTTCAACAGAGGGTAACTGGAGCCCAACGCCTCCTTCAGCCTGACGCCTACAGATCACAGCATACAGGGCAACACCCTAGTTTCAGCAGTCACCAGGTCCCGTTTCCCCCCACTCCCAGCCTGCCTGCCCGGCGCCCCAGGCTCCCAAAGCCCCGACCGCCCCCACCCTCAACAACTTCTGGACTGCAGACATGGGTTGTCAATACAAACATCCACCACACACCAAAAGGGGGGGCATGGGAGCCAGAGCCCCAGAAATCACCCATCACAACAGCAGAGAGGCTGCCCAGCCCTGAAGCCGAGTGCAGAGAACTGGCACAACTCGGATGTATTTTTATGAAAGGTGTGGGTGACTCAGTTTCCCTCTCCCCTCAGACGGTTCCCCGCAGGCTGGGAAAGGGTTACAGTCTTTCCTGAAATGAGTCAAGCAAGGCAGGGATTGGAGGAAGTCACCGATAGGCTGGATGAAGCAGCGGGAGCTAACATCATCGGGCATAATTCCTGAAAAGCACGCGAGAGGGAACCATCCCGGGGGCGCTGCACAGACTGGGTCTGAGGTTACCCAGCAGGCCCGGGGGGCAGCGGTTTCTGGGTTTAGGATGTCTTCACGGCACTGCCACATTCTGACTGACCACCTGGGCCTTCTGAGGCAGCCTGGCCGCTGGCTAAGCCTGGGGGTTACAGGAGGCAGGTGCAGAGGTGATGAAAGGGAAGGACAGGAGGCACTGGAGTGGAACGGCAGAGGCTGCCCCAGGAAAGGATTTGGCTAACGGCCTGAGGGGGCGCTCTCCGGGAGGCCACGAAGGGGTCAGCGGTGCTGTTCTCGCAGGAACTGGGAGGTGTGATTCTAGGAGAGGGGTGAATGCCGGCAGCAGTGAAAGCAAGTGCCACGGAAGGCACACGCC